CGGCTGCTTCTCATCTGCCTGGGTCAGGGGCGCCTGCCCGCAGGCTTGCTCTGCACACGCACGTGCTGCGCCGCGTGCGCTTCCAGTCCTGTGCTCTTCACAGGCTGACTGCGAGCCTTCGTCAGGTCCGATCCCGATCCCCCCCCCCCGTTGCGTGCGGCCTGCCGTTTCCGTGCCGCGGGCCGCCCGGGACTCGGGGCCGCGCCACCCTCTGCTGCGGAGGGAGGCGGTCGAAGCCCCAGTGCCCCGGAGTGCCCCGCTTGGCTCGCGGGGCGAGGGCCTTCGGCGAGAGACGGCGCGCAGGCTGCTGCGGTGCCGAGCCCGACCGACGGACCCTCCCCCCCTGGCGCCCCGCCCCCGGGCCCCATGGAAGAGGGAGTCGCTTCTCGGCTGGCGCGCCCCGCCGCGGCGACGGGCGGGCACGAGCCCGGGCGTTCCGTCCTGCTTCGAGGCCGCGGCCTCCGCGCCATGCCCGACGTGCAGTCTGGACACGGGGAGCAGGACCGCCTTGGGCTCAGGAGGGGCCCGGGCTTCCAGGCCGTTCCTGGATCCAGTCAGGTCGGGGAGCCTGCTCGTTGCTCGTGGCTGCCGCTCGCCTTGGCCAGAAACGCCTCTTCTCCTTCTGGTAGCACGCTGGCTGTAAGGGTCACTGGCGAGCTCCCCAGCGGAGCACGCGCGACTCGGGCCTTCGCTTCGCTTCGCTTCGCTTCCAGTCGTTCCCCCGGCCGAGGCCTACCGGCGCGTCCTGTACGGAGAAGCGTTCCCAGGCGCGCCGCTGGCTCCCGCCTCCCGCACGCGCCCTCGAGGGGTGTGCGGGGAGGGAGGGGAGGGGGAGGAAGGATCAGGGAAAGGGGGGGGAGTCAATGCAGGAGGAGTCAAAGGACGAGGAGGAGGAGGCTGATGATATGGAGGAGGAGGGTTGAGGCCGCGTTCGACGAAGTCTAGCTATGGCCGTTCGCTCGTAGCTCATAGGAGGAAGGAGGAGCAGGAACAGGGAGGAACAGGAGGAGGAAAAGGAGGAGGAGGAGGAGGAGGAAAAGGAGGAAAAGGAGGAGGAGGAACAGGAGGAGGAACAGGAGGAGGAAAAGGATCAGGAGGAGGAACAGGAGGAGGAAAAGGAGAAGGATCAGGAGGAGGAAAAAGGAGGAGGAAAAGGAGGAGGAAAAGGAGGAGGATCAGAGTAAACCCAGGACGCATCAACGGTGCTGCAATAAGCCCGCCCTGCAAGTTCCCTCGTCATGGTTCGTACAAGAATTTTGTTTTTACTGCGGGGAGGGGCTCACTCGAAGACAACAGTCTGGGAATCTTCAACCGTGCCAGAAACCATCTTTTGGGTGTCAACACCGCGAATCAGCCTGTCTGTTTCGTCCTGGCAATCCTAGATCGTGCTGACACCCCGTTCCTGGGATTCCAGAATCGTGAATCAACGATACTGTTACGTCCTGACAATCCCGAATTTTGCCAAAGCGCAACTCCTGGGACTTCAGCCAAACGTATCCTTGAACCTGCGGCAAACTTTTGAACAGAATGTGTGCGACGCGAGGACGCGAGCCACATTTTGAAAAGGACCCGGTCTCCATCCTTGGAGCTGTTGCAAACGTTTGAGATGGATGTGCGCGGCGCTGAGGCGAGAGCCACATTTTGAAAAGGACACTCCCTCCATCCTTGACGCTGCTGCACACATTTACGACGACTGGGCGCAGCGCTAGGGCGAGAGCCACATTTTGAACAGGTCGCGCCCTTGTCACAGGGGGGAGGTATTTCAGGACAAGGGATGGAGGAGCAGGCAGAGGAGGAGGATAGTCTCGGATGTACTTTTAGGCCGCGGGCTAGCAACTCGCACCTCAGGCCCTTGGGGATCGGGGTTTGTCCAATGCGGGTGTTCCAGCTCGCAGCCTAAAGCGGGGGATTGCGGATAGCGGTGATACTCAGTAGCCTAGTAAGGAAAACCAGCCGATGCTCCACCTCTCGTTCGCGGAGGAGGGGGAGGGAGGAGGGATCAGAGGGAGGAGGAGGAGGATGAGGAGGAGGAAGAGGAGGAGGAGGAGGATCAGAGTAATCCCAATATGCATCAACGATGCCTCCCGTCCCAAGTCCCCTCCTCGCATGCCCCTGCTGGGATTCCGCTCCTTCTGCGGGAATTGCTTGCGTGGGAGATGAGCGCCCCGTGGACGTGCAGCTCGGGCGAGGGCCCCCCTTTGAACATAGGGGGCCATGTGCGAGCCCTACCTCTTACCCCCCACGATTTCTGAGGGGGAGGGTGGGGTTCACTTCGCTCGGGAGCTCTCCGAGCGAAGTGACCCCCCCCCCCCTCAGAAGTCGTGGGGATTAGGGGTAGTGTTCGCATGCGCCCCCCAGAAAAGGAGCTGCCTTCCATCCGTGTAGCGGTTGTAGGCTTTCAAGATGAATGTGTGCGGCGTTCATTTGCCAACGATCCGCCTTCGATCCTTGTAGATGATGTAAGGTCGTAAAAGTGAAAGTGAGCGACGCTCAGGCGAGCACCGCATTTTGACACGTAGCAGCCCTACATCCATGCAACGGTTGTGAGCTTTTAAGACGAGCGTGTTCGGCTCTAAGGCGAGGGCCACATTTTGAAAAGCAACCACCTTCTTCCGTTTGACGGCTGGGAAATTTCAAGGCACACGTGCGCGGCGCTACGGTGACAGTCATATTTTGAACATGCACCGCCCTCCATCTTTGTAGCTGTCCGGACTTTCAAGACGGACGTGCGCAGCGACCAGGCTAGAACCACATTTTGAACAGAAACTGCCTTCCTTCCGTGTAGCGGTTTGATGTTTTTACGACGAGTGTGTTCGGTGCTACGTCGAGAGCCACATTCAGAAAAGAAGCAACCCACCTTCCGTGTAACGGTTGGACACGGGAAAAAGTGGATGTGCGCAGCGTTAAGACGAATGCCACATATTGAAACGTCAGTATCTCCCGATCCGTGTAAATGATAAGCGTTTTAAGGCGAATGTGCGCGACGCTCAGGCTACAGCAGCAGTTTGAAATCTAACCGCCTCCCATCCCCGTAAGTGAGGGACATTGAAAGACGAAGGTGCACGGCGCTAGGTCGAGAGCTACACTTTGAAACCGACTCCATTCCATCGGTGTCACGGTCCGAAGGTTTTAAGACGAACTTGTTCGGCGTTGAGACGAGAGCCACATTTTGAAAAGGACCTCCTCCCCTCCGCGTACAGGCTGAACATGTTAAGCTTCGGGGTCATGTGCGGGGGGAAGCTTTAGGCGAAACGCGCATTTAGAAGGAAACGGAATGGAGGAGGATGAGGAGGGCTAACAGTACATCGCCGTGCCGAAGGTTCCTAGAATGCTGGTCAGTGCGCCCGAATTCATCATTTGCTTGCGAAAACGAGCTCGCCGCGACGGCAGCCGTGAGGGGGAAGAGGCTTCAGGAGGTGTTGAACCCCTTTCCTTCTAGACGCCTAGCAACGCATCCTCTTGGCGGGAGATCCCGTTCGACCGATGCTTTGTGGTTGTATAGGTTTAGTCCCGTTAATTAGAAGTTCCACCCATGCAGCATGATGTGCCCGTAACTCCTGGGCGGAACGCATCTCCCGCAATGCTGTTCTGCTCTGGCGTTCTCTCGGGGCCATCTCGAGAGCATCCCTGGGCCACACTGGGGTCACGGAGTCGTGGTCTGGTGTTGCTTCGGCCAGCCTCGGCCCGCCTGGGGGCCATCGCATGGGCATTGGGACATCTCGGGGTCATCCGCTGCGCATGGACTGGGCCACCTCGGGGTTGCCCTGCGGCCAGCCGGGAGCCGCGTCGAGAGCACGTGCGGCCCCCCGAGCCCTCCTGGGGTCGCCCGGGGGGCACGGCGAGTTCGCGCCGCGTCGACGCCGCTGCGGCGCCCGGCGCGGGCGTGCAGGGCTGAAGGGCGCCAGTGGCCTCGGCCAGTACGGAACGCTCTGGCGATCGGAAGGCCACCGATCGTTCGAGGCCGAACCATCCACGGGGTGTCGTCAGCCGCTGCCAGGGTCGCCATGTCACGAATCTGCCGCATCGTCGGGTCGCTTGGCGCTCTTAGTCCAGCTTGGAAATGCGCTGGAGTGGCGGATCCGCCTTGACATCGGGCGGGGCGTTTTGAGGTCCTGCGCGTTTCCAAGGAACTCTTGTTTCGGCCAAGCAGTAGGAGGAGGAGGAGGAGGAGGAGGAGGAGGAGGAGGAGGAGGAGGAAGAGGAGGAGGAGGAGGGAGGAGGAGGAGGAGGAGGAGGAGGAGGAGGAGGAGGCGGACGCGGATGATAATCCTGAGAAGGGAGGGGATGGAGAAGGAGCTGGAGGTAGAGTCCTCTTGGAGCCCTCTTGGGCAGTAATGGAAGCCTTTTTTGTCGTGTGAGGCCAGCAGGTTGGGCCGTCTTCGGGCCTTCTTGGTTCGTCTTGGAGAATCCTGAGTCATGTGGAAGGCCATCAAGAGACGACGTTGAGGCCATCTGGGGATATATCTGGAGTCTTGGAGACGAGTTTTTCCGGACCTTGTGGTCGTTGTGTTTTCTTCTGGGTGGCAGGGGGGCCGGGACGAACTCTACCGCGTTTTGTTCTCAAGGTTTCAGGCATGTTCCAACATCCAGCACGCAGTGCACCCGTCCGGCATGCTACGGGGGCGGCCGGTTTAGTGGCCTTCGGCTCACCCCGCCGCCGTGCGTGGGTCGCGAACAGGAGGAGACTTCGATGCCTCCTGGAGGCCTCTTTCGAGCCGCTTGAGGACCTCTCAGGCCTGCCCTGGGGGCCGCCTCGACGCCTCCGGGGCCTCTTGGGGGCCTCTGGGGCCATGTCGGGGTGGGGGCTCCAAGTTGCAACCCGCGTTTCCTCCCCCTGGGGGCTTCTTGGGCGCCCTCTGGGGCCTTCCCGGGGGCCTCGGTGGCCCCCCTTGGGTGGGGGTGGGTCCTTTTGGCCTCTCGGGCCAAGTTGGACGCCCTGCAAAGCCAAAAATGCCGAGCATGTGAGCATGGCAGCGAAGCCTTACTGCTTTTGGTTCGTCGCCGTTTTGGCTCAAGTCATCCTGGTTCGGGCTGTCACGAGCGCTCGCAAATTTACCCGTCGGCCCGCAGCTCACCACCTCCCGCGTCCTCGCAATGGCTCTGCGTCGCTTCAACGCGGGTGGCAAGAAGCAGAAGGAATTGTCTGAGGAGCAGGGGTCGACCTAAACGGTGTTTTGGCGATTTCGTGGGCCGTTTTCGTTTCGGCTTCGTTTTGCAGCATCGGCGGATTGGAGGCAAAACGAGGGAAAACGAACACAAAACGAAAGCCTCAAACATTGCTTAGGTCGATCCATGCTGAGGAGCAGAAACAGGAGATCAAGGAGGCGTTCGATCTGTTTGACACGGACGGCTCGGGTGAGATTGACTCTAAGGAGCTGAAGGTGGCCATGCGAGCCCTCGGTTTCGAGCCGAAGAAGGAGGAAATTCAGAAGATGATCTCCGACGTAGACGACGACGGAAGCGGAACCATCGGATACGAGGAGTTCCTTAAGATGATGACGCACAAGATTTTGAACCGTGACCCGAAGGATGAGATATTGAAAGCTTTCAGGCTCTTCGATGATGATGAGACTGGCAAGATATCCTTCAAAAATCTGAAACGCGTGGCGAAGGAGCTGGGCGAGCGGATGACAGATGAGGAGCTGCAAGAGATGATCGACGAGGCCGACCGGGACGGGGACGGGGAGGTGAATGAGGAGGAGTTCCTCCGAATTATGAAGAAGACCAATTTGTTCTGAGCGTCAGTCCGAACCCTCAAACGTGTGTCCGTTCTTCCCCTACAGCACTGCCTCGGGGACGCCATCGCCACTGTGCGCTTGGCCAACGGTATGGTTGCAGCTTCTCACCCGTGTATTGGCGACCAAATCCGGGATCGGAGGCTCCTCCAGGGCCCCCGTACAATTAAAGTGCAGACCACCTGGCGCGGTGCCGTTTGACCGACCACCAGTGAAAAACAACAACCTTATTTTTTTCGGTCTCTTGATGGTGATGGTGATGGTGATGGTGATGATGCTGTTGCTGATGCTGATACTGATGAAGATGATGGTGATGATGCTGCTGCTGATGATTGTGATGCTGCTGATGATGATGCTGATGATGCTGATGATGATGACTATGATGATGACTATGATGATGACTATGATGTTGCTGATGCTGATGCTGATGCTGATGATGATTTTGATGCTGATGCTGATGATGCTGCTGATGCTGATGCTGATGCTGATGATGAGGAGGAGGACGACGATGGTGGATGAGTGGAGAAGGGGGGAGGTTTTCTCCTGCGCGGGGGTGTCCAGAGAAAACAAGAGCACCGCTTAAGATGTGGGGAAGCAGCCGTACTGTCTTGGGCCTCGTGGGCCGGCCCCCAGGTCGTCCAAGACGGCCCAGGAGCCCCCCAAGAAACTCCCGAGAGAGCCCAAGGAGGCCCGTTGGGGCTACAGAGAGTTCCCGAGACTTTTTGAGCTCTGTTTGGAGGGAAGTCGGGGGATGTTGGAGTCGGTTTTGGTGGGTTCGGATTCCCAGAAGCCCACGTGGCACAGGCTGGAAGTACCAAAGTGTGCCGAGGAGCGCCAGGGAATTCCAGCAAGTTCTTGACGCTTCGCGTGCCCCCATCAGCCCATCCAGAAACGGTGCCCGTGAGAGCTCTCTGGAGGAGGGGCGCAGGAAAGCGTGTGGTGAGGCAGGGAAACCAAAGAAGGTGAATGTAGAGACCTCGGGTGGCCGCTTTGAGCAATCTTGGGGTCATGTTGGACGCCTTTTGGGGCTCTCTTAGGGCTCTCTTGGGCGCTCTTGAGGGTTCTTGGGGGCCATGGAGAGCCTCCCTGGGCAGTATCGGAGGCCGTTTGCAATAAACAGCTGATCTTATCCCCCCCTCGGAGCCCGAAGGAGAGCCTCTGGGGGCCCTCTTGGGCTGGCGCTCGTGGGGCCGTCTCTCACACGTTTCGTGGCCCCTGAGGGAGCTTTACCGAAGGCCTCGGTTCCATGAGTCCCACGCGTGACCACGCCATGCTTGTGCACCCTTCACACGTCTCGTGGCGGCCCACAGGGAGCTCCACCGAAGGCCCCAGTGACAGGACTCAGGCGCGTGACCGCGCCCATTTCGGCACACCCCTCACACGTTTCGGGGGGGCCCACAGGGAGCTCCACCGACGGCCCCAGGGGCAGGACTCGCATACTTGATCGCGCCAATGTCGGTACACTCCTTACATGAGTCGTGGCCACATAGGGAGCTTCACCGAAGGCCCCGCTGCATGTTGCCCCTGGGGCCGCGCCGACATTCGCAGATCAGCTGCAACGGGTTACATCCAGATGTAACCCGTTGTGGCTGACCTCTGCGCCCTCTTCAGCAACGTCGCTCCGTCGTTCCCACGCACGTCCATTTTCTGGCCCCTCCCATTCATTTCCATCTGTCTTGCGGTACTCGCAGCTGCCGATGGTTGGGCCATTCGCCAGGCAAGTTTCTGAATCCCGACCTCTTCCTTGCGGGTAGTTTTTCGTGCTGGATCTGCACTTCCGGGGCGGCCAAGATGTGCGGTGGTGATTCCAGTTGGGCGGATATCTTCGCTGGCGGAATTTTCGACGGGCTGCAGGAGGGTTTGTGGCCAGGGCGCGGGTCGCCCGTTCTCGTTGGGCACAATCTGGTAGAGCGGCGCTCGCTCGTCAACGTCGGGCGCTGGAGCCCACGCCGTGGGCTGCTGGAACCACTGGCCCTTCGTAAGAATTGGGTGCTGGAGCCCACCCTTCTTGACGGCATGATATGATTGAGCAGTTTTCCCTTGTTAGAATTGTGCGCTTGAAACACACCCGTTCAGGGCTTCAGAAGTTATTGGTGTCCAACCCTTGGTAACGAAACGGGGGCGTGCGCGAAACCCTTTCCAAAAGAAAACGGGGTTTCCCTGATTGCGTAGATGGCGCTGCCGCACGCGCAGGGGTCCGCTGGCCGCGCATTACTTTCCATTGGTCCCCTAGTAGTTGGCCGTCGTGTTTTGTCATGTCTGCGCGTCGCGTGACATGTCTGCTGTAGGCGGTTAGCAGCGTAATTGACGTGCAAATGCAAAGCGAGTGCTGCCCGAACACGACTTCACTCCTGCGCGAGCACGAACTTGCGGTCGCACGAACACGGAATTATTCTCGCACGAGCACGACTTTGGTTCCGCACGAACGCGAACTTATGCGCGCACAAGCACGAAACTACTTCCGCGCGAACACGAGATGAGGCACGAGTTGTTGCGCGAGCACCTGCACGAAATGCGCCACGAAACGCCGCGCAAAACTACCACACGATTTTTTGTGTGCGAATGTCTCAGGCAATTTCTGGTTTTTGGGGGCGCTCGCAGGCGCGGCCGGGCGCTTGCAAACAAGTCTGGGGAATTAAGTTTTGGGCCTCTTTCGTGCGGCCACTCTGGGTGGCAACTCTGGGGCCATTTCGTGCGGGCAATTTCGTTCGGGCACTTTCGCGCGGGCAACTTCGCGCCCCTGCGTCGTTCTCCTGACCGCCCATGCTTGTCGGCTGCCGCTGGCGAGCTGGCTTGCTTTTGCCGCGGCGGCACGTTGATAGGGCACAGCGTTGCCATCGCTGATGGTCGCAGTGCCGACGGTTCGTGCGCATGCGACAACGATGAGAAGGGAGCGTGTTCCAACGCCCGCATCGTTGGGCGGGCTGCCAGGGGTGTCCATCCCGCCGCGCCGCAGATGATTAATCACGCGAACGTGCCTGGGACCCTGAGGCAATTTCGTGGCCCATTCGTGCCTTATTGTGTGTCCGAGGGATCAAAACGGGTGCAGTCCGCGCGAGCGTCCGCGCGTGCGCGGGAGTGCGCACGCGTGCGCGTGTGTGCAAGCGTTCGTGCGCGCGTGCGTGCCCGCGTGCGCGCGCGCGCGCAAGCTCGGGCGCGAGCGCGAGCACGAGCCAGAGCACGAACCCGACCCCGAGCCCGAGCGCGAGGTTGAGACCGAGCCCGAGCCCGAACCCCGTTCTAAGCGCGCGCGCGTGCGCGGGTGCGCGTAGGTGTGCGTGCGTACACGCCTCCGATATGTTGACATGAGCTCACAACCAACTATTTGTCTGACTGAAGATGAGGTGGATCTCGTGGCTGGGGCCTTGATGTTTCTCTGGATATCATGGCCCCGCTCTTGTTTTTTCACTACGCCCCCTGGTGTGCCCCTGGGCCGCCCGAACCTCGGGCTATGATTTGCGAGCTCCTCTCTTGGACGCCCACCTCTTGGGCGGTCCCGAGTTTTCGATGGCCCTGGGGCCCGATCGCGGGCCCCAGATCGGTACGATCGAAATGCATGCGGAAAGAATGTGTACGAAGACCGGCAGCAGGTCCTGCTCATTTTGAGCATGACTCGGTGTCAGTGTTCCCGCAGATGTTGCCCGTGTTTCTCGTCCTTGCTCTGCTTTTTGTGATGGCCCAGAGCTGTACGATCGAATGGCCACGGAAAGCAACAGTTTCTGCCAGTTTTTGACAGGACTCGCTGTCGGTGTCCCCGCGGGGGCTGTCCATTCGAGACGGACGGCTCACTGCACGACAGCGGCCGCTGGCTGTTTTGGACAGCGCCTGCTGGCACCCATGTTCTCCGCATCCATGGTCGGGCGTTCAGCCCAGAGCCCAGGGCCACGCTGATGCTGCAGCCAGCAGGACGTCAGCTCTCTTTCGCTGGCCCCCGCTGAGGGCGGGGTCGAGGCAGGGGCCGTGGAGGGCGGGCTGGGCGCCGCAAGAGCGCCGCGGACCCGCTGCGCAGCGCGACCGGCCCGGGGGGGGGACGTGCGGCGTCCCCTCGCAGGCCTAGAGGTTGACACCAACACCAATATCAGCGGTGTGCCTCCACCCGATTTCGGTGATGGTGGTAATATTCTGGCTTCCAAGGTGGCCGAAGTATTACCACCGACGCCGACATCTAGGATCATTTCCCCCCTGTGGAGGCAAACCCCCTGTGCTGGTGTTGGTGCCCATTTCCAGGCCTCAAAATCAGCTCTTTTTCGCTGGCACCCCGCCGAGGGCGGGGTCGAGCCAGGGGCCGTGGAGGGCGGGCGGGGCGCCGCGAGAGCGCTGCGGATCCGCTGCGCAGCGCGACCGGGCCCGGGGGGAGGGGGACGTGCGGCCTCCTCCCCCCCCTCTTCGCGATCGCGCGCGAAACGCACGAGGCCCGAAACTTCGGGGAAGCTCGGCGGGGCCGAGAGCACCCCGTCGTCGGATTTCTGCGCCGTGCCGCGGGCCAGCGGCCGCCCGCCCCAGGCCAGTACGTGAAGCACGAGGACGCCGCCGCGGCTGCGCCGCCCCTTTCCCCCCGTCGGGGCGCCTCTCCCCGCCCTCCCGGGCCCGCCTCGCCGCTGGCCTCAAGTCGGGCCTGTCCCTCTACAGGAGGAATATTCAAAAATAGTAAAAGAATAGTCGGGGGACGATTTGTGGACTATTTTTGGCTATTTTGGAGCATGTGTGGCGCAATTTTTATTTTTCGTACAACGTCTGGCTTTAGGGGGACATGCCCGACGTAACGCTGGCCACCGGCTTGGCCCGAGCCAGAGCCCTCGGGAATTCCCGTTGCGCTTGGGCTCTCGCCAGTCGTACCGGCGCCACCTCTCTCCCCTGAGATCCGGACGTTGCCACTCTCTGACACGGGGCGTTTTCGTCTGGTATCGGGCCTCGAGGCCAATCCGGCTCGAAGAAGAGCGCAGAACTGTGCGGCTCAGGGTTCCAGTCGCGATTTTTTGTTGCGATGTCGCAGTTCTGTCGCGATGTCGGATCGCAGGATCCTGCCTTTTGCCACCCCGGTAAAAACGAGGCGCGGGGACAAGTCAGGGCACCGTGGGAGGCGCGGGAGAGAGGGTGGGGAGAGAGGGGCGGGAGGGAGGGAAGGAGGGAGGGGAGGGAGGGAGGGGAGCGAGGGAGGGCGGGAGGGAGGGAGGAAACAGAAACGTAATAATAAATCGAAGACACAGGACACCAATAATAATC